ATACGTTGCATAACAATAAAGTCAAACTTAAATTTTTTTTTTTCGTATTTTCGTATTTGTGTCAACAGTCGAGAGATAATCTAGAAGTGTAGAAACTCATCAGTTATGGTTTGGTAGTACTTGACCGGGGTAAGGATATCTCCAACCCCACTCCAAATCCCACTCCAAAATGAGATTTGGAGTAAAATTCTTTCCAACCCTACTCTAAATCTCACTCCAAAGTGGAGTAAAAAAAAAATTGGAGTAAAAGATCATTTACTCCAAATATGGAGTAACTCCATTTATCACTTTTTTTTTTCATACATTGTTTACTCAAAAATATAGTAGGGTAGAGTAAAATACAACTTCATTTTAGAGTTACTCTATTTTGGAGTAAAAAATAGAGTTTTTGGTTGGAGATGGTCTAAGACGTAAACTCAATTTTTTAGGTTCGAGTTCGACTATCTCTAGAAACAAATATATTTTTGTTGGGTCAATTGGCTCTATGTTTTGCTTCGGATATTTTACACTGTCTGTTTGTACTCAACGAGTATACATACCTTGAAGATCTAAATTATATGAGTTATCTGTAAAACAAATTGTAGAAGTGCAGATAATGTTTTAAGAGGAATCTTTTCTTCTTTTTGACGAAATGTATAATTATGGGAATCTTATTTGTTACAACTTGACGATAAAGGTTGCAAATTCCGTGGGAGGAGAACAAAGGCTTTTCCGAAGAAAGAGGAATATGTCTGTTTTGCTATCATCATTATGTTTCATGACAAAAAAAACACATTAAAACCAAAAAAAACAATTGTCAAAAACAAAAAATGGCTAGTATTTATTGACTCCAGCAAAAATCTAAATTACAAGAAAAATAAACACATAACTAAATATTTGTTATTTTGTGAATCTCAATTCTATACACAGAGTACAAAGAAAAACAATTGGTTCTATGCCATGTAGATTTAGGCCAAAGTTTAATTTTTCCCCTCAAACGTAAAATTCTCTAATCTCTCCTATTTTGGCTAGTCGAAGGTGCAACGCTTTAAATCCGTTAGAAATTTTGGTGAATAGATTACTCGACGACTACACTCATCCTAGGAAATTAGTCGGGTGGTAAAACCCGGATCACCTCCTAGTTATCAAAACAAAAAAAACCGGAGTTACAGTTGTAATCGGTAATGAAAAAAAAACAGCTTTCAATAATTTTCCTTTTTTCAATAACTGTTTTGCTCCACAGTAACATTATTGGCCCCTGAAACTTGAAGAACGCAGAGAGTCCACCATTACAACTTTAACCGTATATATAAACGAAGAACGTATGTATGATATTCTTGATAACTCTAATTAAATAC